GAAGAAGAAGGAGGAGATGGAGGAGGAGAGGAGGAGGAGGAGAAGGAGGAGAGGAGGAAGAAGAAGGAGGAGAGGAGGAGGAGGAGGTGGAGGAGGAGGAGGAGGTGACAACGTCAAAGCAAGTAGCTAGCTCCTCAGGACACTAAGTCGCGTCCTGCGCCGCGTGTCCGGGCCTGTGGTCTGGGATGGAGGAGGTGGGATTTGAGCGCCGGGGTCTGGCAGCCGGGCTGAGCTCACCTTCTTCAAGTCTTCGTAGTAGAGGATTAGAACGTTCTTGTCGTTTCTGCGCTCTTCCCAGCCTAAGACGTGATCAAACCAGGACCCGTACACAACTGGAAGGCAAGCAGAGGGGGTCCGTGCTACCATTCATTAAATCATGGCCGGAAATCACTTTGTAGGAGCAACATGAGATACTCGTTGGACTTTCAGGATTGGTGCAATGAAGTATAATGTCGTGAGCGAAGGCCTGAGGATTTAAGTTAAATGGTGTGTTTTTGTTTGTTCCTGTGTGTGTGTGTGTGTGTGTGTGTGTGTGTGTGTGATTCCTGGGTCTTGAACTCAGGGCCTGGGCGCTGTCCCTCAGCTCTTCAGCTCAAGGCTGGCGCTCTACCACTTGAGCCACGGCACCACCTCAGGCTTTTTCAGAGTTGTTTAGCAAGTATCTCACGGATTTTCCTGCCTGGGCTGGCTTTGAACTGTGATCCTCAGATCTCAGCCTCCCCGAGTAGCTGGGATGACAGGCGGGAGCCACTGGTGCCCAGCCCCAGTGTCTTTTGACATCAAGATTTTTCTAGAACTCCTGGGCTATTCTTGGGGAGACATTTCACCAGCTCTCGCACCCAGGGGTGCTATAAAGACAGACCAAGCTACGCGGACATCATTTGCTTATCAGTACTGCCACTGACACAATCCCTTATCGTACCAGTTCTAGATTTAACTATGGGAGATTCTGCTCGGCATAACCAACCTTTACCCTGGGCAAACACACCGGGAGGAGAAAGACGGATTTCCCCCATATGCAAATTTATGACACCAACTGAAAATCCTGAGTCATGCTACCTGAGATTAGGTACTGCGCAATCTGGGGAGACCATCGGCCGAGCCCAAGGTCCTGTGGCCAGCGGGGGGGGGACGGGGGGGAAGCACACAAGGGCACCGTGGTTCAGCCCGGCTGAGGGTGGTTGACTGGACCCATGAGTGCTGGTCAGAAGGAAATGTGCTGTGTAGAAGTACACCCGGGCATTCAGCCTGGCCTCACCCTCCACCCACTGCCAGCCAGGAGATGCCAATCAGTGGCTGCCCCTCTGCCTGGGAGACCTGGCTCCAATATCATATTCAATTGTTTGTTTAAGAAAAGGTCATCCCAGAGACCCAGGAGGCTGAGATCTGAGGATCGCGGTTCAAGGCCAGCCCGGGTAGGAAAGTTTGTGAGACTCTGATCTCCCATGAACCACCAGAAAACTGGAAGTGGAACTGTGGCTCAAGGGGTAGAGCACCAGCCTTGAGCGAAAGAGCTCAGGGACAGTGCCCAGGCCCTGAGTTCAAGTCCCACCACCAACAAAAAAAAAAAAGAAAAAGAAAGAAAAAAAGATCTTGCAACCTTTTCTGCCCTGGATTTGGCCTCACACTTCAGTCTGCCCAGCTCAGCCCCCCGAGGAGCCGGGATGACAGGCCTGAGGCGTCTCTCTGTTCCAAGCCCAGGGTTAGAATTCTGTTTTGTTTTGTTGTCAGTCCTGGGTCTTGAACTCAGGGCCTGGCCGCTGTCCCTCAGCTCTTCAGCTCAAGGCTGGCGCTCTACCACTTGAGCCACAGCACCACTTCTGGTTTTCTGATGGTTCATGGGAGATCAGAGTCTCACGGACTTTCCTGCCCAGGCTGGCTTTGAACCGCGATCCTCAGATCTCAGTCTCCTGAGTCGCTGGGATGACAGGCGTGAGCCACGGCGCCCGGCCCCATGGTTAGAATTTTTGAATGAAAGTTTAGGTTCATCTTTAGGCCGGAGCCCTCATCCCAGCCACTAGCAGTTCTTAGTGCTTACAACAAACCGAGTTAGCTTCTGAGAGAGATCCGCAGCCCTCCGACACCCAAAACTACCCTGAAAGCAATGTAGACGGCTCATTCTCCCAGGTGTCCAAGAATGTGGGGAGGGAGTCAGAACGATTTTATAAAGACATCTTCCTAGAAAGGTCTAGAACTCCCTTCCCATAGAAGGTTCTAGAACACCCTCCCAACAGAAAGTTCTAGAACTCTCTCCCCATAGAACCGTCTAGAATGCCCTCCCAACAGACAGTTGTAGAGCTCTCTCCCCCTAGAAAAGTCTACAATGCCCTCCCAATAGAAAGTTCTAGAACACCCTCCCAATAGAAAGTTCTAGGACTCCCTCCACTCGCCCAACTTCTTTAGGAATCCAAATCCTTGGAATGTACCAGGTTCTTTCTTTCTTTCTTTCTTTCTTTCTTTCTTTCTTTCTTTCTTTCTTTCTTTCTTTCTTTTTCTTTCTTTCTTTTCTTTCTTTCTTTTTCTTTCTTTCTTTCTTTCTTCTTGCTTCCTTCCTCCCTCCCTCCCTCCCTTCCTTCCCTCCTTCCTTCCCTC